AACTCTAACCACGCCGTAACTTTACCACCAAGCAGTAACATGAACGGTAGACTCTTTAAAAGGCCTTCACATAATAGAAAACGGCAATAGCTGACTCACATGGAGTGATTACTCCTGCAATACGCTACACACCGAGGACAGGCTTTGGGTGGCGCTCCAGCTGCCGGCACCGCACAGTGACGTCTAGCCTTACGCTTGCAGTGTCCGCCATCCCCTTCAGGACCCAACTCGGCCCACGAAAAGGAATCAGCTTGCGAACCTGCTCCCGGAATACCCACTCAACAGGTGGTCCGTTTGGTAGAGGAGTGAGGCCGCCGACCCCGAAGCCTGCCCCTGGTGTGAGCGCCACCGGGCCCTGCGCTCCCGGCGCGGTGGCGCCCGTGATATGGGAGCGGCCGTGAACGCCAGTCAACTGGACAGACAAGAGACGAGCGAGCGGAGAGGGCCGGAGTGAAGGGCAGAGACAGAGGGCGCGCGTGGCGAGGTGCCGGCGGCGGACCGGGCTCGCCGCGGGGTACAACATCGAATCCGCTCACCAGACCGTTACAAACACCTGCGCTCGCGCCCCCCGGCTCGGTGGCGCTCACGTCCCGCCCGCGCGCCGCGGCTTTGGCACGGCTATCTGCGAACTGATTGCGTCTAGATGCGGACACCACGGGACCAAACCGGCCGACGCGGCGGGCGGCAGCGCCCCCGGCCTCCGCCGCACACAGACATCGACTACACTGCACCGGCCAGGCGGTCGCTGCGGCACCGCCGCCGGGGCCGACGCGCGCTCCCACCCAGCGCCGCAGCGCCAACATAGAGCTATCTGGTCACGGGCAGAGGTGAGTAGTGGCCCGAGCACGTCCGCTTCGTGGCGCGCGCCGGCCACGGCTGGTCGGCACGCGCACTGGCGCGCCGCCGCCGCGCCAACTTTGCCTTCCGAGACGCGACGGCGCGCGCCGGCCACTGCGGGCTTCTGGAACAATCCTGCGGGCGAGGCCGGTCGTCATCACGGGCCAGTCACCATTGACCTGCAGAATGGATGTGGCCACTAATTGCGGGGTACTGTGAGTCACTTGTCAGTGACTAACTGCTGCTCCTCGCAAACAGGCCTCGCGTTTTTGACGTTTTTTTTTCCCTTGAAACTGCATCTTTTTGTGGAGTTCGCCATCGGGCTTGTGAACAACGCACCGGACGGAACACAATGGACAGGCACACAGTCGTGTCTCTGTGACGGCACGCGATCACTGGCCCCGACCGCGCGCCTGCGGGCTGGTGTTCGCCGACCGACGCCGCCAGCTGACGGCACTGAAACTCTTCCAGCACAAGCCGACAGCGACGCGCCCGGCTGGCCGTCCCCCACCAGCGGTCGCGCTGCGCCAGCGGCGTAGCACGGTCCGCCCGGCTGTCGGCGGCGTACCTTAGTCCTTCTTGTCACCGTCCTCGGGGTCCTTGAGGGTGTGCCACTGGGCGATGGGCCGGCGCGGCGAGGCCAGCATGTCGGACCAGTGGCGCAGCTCGGTGCCCGACGCCGTGCAGCCCAGCACACATTTGCCTATCGGCTCGGACGTGCCGATCCGGTCGTAGTCGACCACGGTCACCACCAGCTGCACCTTCTGCTCGGCAGGCGGCAACAGCGTCACACGCGGCGCCGAACCGTCACCTGACCCCCTCCCCTCCCCCATCGCACCCGCCACCCCTGCAGCGAACGTATGCAAAGGCTGATCGAAACCACATTGCATTTATAATTGTTATGCCAGTTTGTTGCTAACCTGTCATTTGCCACGCTCGTCTCTGAGAATATCAAACACGCGTTTACCACCCAAGTGACCTTTGCAGGTGGCTGCAGGCCCGCCCCGCAGCCAACGGTGGCGGATACTGGATGGACGTGGCGGAAAAAGGACGGCCACGGCACAGTGTGCCTGACGTTACACCTCGATCGCTGTCGCTGTCCAAGTCGCTGGCCCTATTCAGCACGATTCGGATTGCTTGATATGCGCGCTCGACATGAGCGCAAGTGATGTGGAAAGACATGAGCGCAAATGAGTTTCACGTGTCGGATATTAAAACGGGGCAAATCCCATTTACTGCAAGAGAAAAGTTGTTACCTGCTGAACTTGACCAGAATGTCACCTTATTCCGAACGGTTGCTTTTTCGCAAGTGGTAATGATCAGGAGCAGCGATGTAGTGGTTGGCTGCGGACAGTTCATTAATGCTATCCCAGCAAGAGGCTCCTCTCCACTTTTACGTCCGCGTGGTGCAAAATAACACCGAGTAACATTATACTTGTCCGATGCATTAAGGCGCTGAACAAAATCTAGGCTGCTCTAAGAAAAGGAGCATCAGCCGAAATGAGAGGTTCCCTCCAGATAGCGTTCGGCCTCGCATGCTGCCAAAGCGTGAGGCGAAAAGACCACAGATGGCGAAACACACCTCAGATGATAGGTCTGTAGCATGAAGTGCGTGTTGAAAGCGTACAAAGCACTGCGTACCAAATATGTTGCGAACCTTCAGAATATGTTTCCGTGAAAACAAGGATTATCGTAATGTTTGACTGGCGACCTATTCCACGAATTTGGGTACGTGACACGGGCCAACCAGCGTTACAAAGGCATGTCGAGTGTCTCTGTAATCAGGAATTGTGCCTGAACCGCTGATATCACCCTACTGAAATACAATATAATGGCGTGGAGTCAAACGGTTTAGGCCCTAGAATTGCCGTCACTGTGCAGGACATAGCACAAAGGCGATTTGGAAAATTCGGATTCCGTTTCTGCGAGACGCGTGGCGTATGACAAGGAAGGCAGGTCACATGCCAGGCTCCACACTCATCCTGACCATAATTTATCAGGTCAGTGATCTTCATGTCTTACCTGGATCTGCTCGAATGGAACCTCGAACGTGAACGACTCATTATAGTAGGGGTTCAGGGTGCACTTCTTGATGCTGGTCTTCTTTTTCTTCAGGCGTTTACCGTTCTGCATTAAAGCTATCTTCACGTATGGATCTGAAATTCCACCCGCCACGTCACGCGCATCAGCATTCTCCTGGAACACCCACGCTCCAGACCACGCGCAATGCATGCCCACTCCCCCTCAGGTGGATGTCAAACAAAGTAGCCCGAGTAGGGCTCGGGACCTTTTAGGACACCCAAGCAGCATGCTGGTTGGCAGGCCGTGATGTTTCCGATGGCATGTCTGCCCCCTGTATGCACCCGCACAAAATTAAAAAAGAACCATCCCAACTCATCCAACATAGCCAAACTCAGAAGACGTACGCATCACTCTTTGATGACAAAACGTGTGTGTGTGTGTGTGTGTGTGTGTGTGTGTGTGTGTGTGTGTGTGTGTGTGTGTGTGTGTGTGTGTGTGTGTGTGTGTGTGTGTGTGTGTGTGTGTGTGTGTGTGTGTGTGTGTGTGTGTGTGTGTGTGTGCGCGTGTGTGCGTGTGTGTGTACGCGCGCGCGTGCGTGTGACTGTTGTCAACGTTGACTGACATTGGTGTCGACATGGCAGCTATTGACATTGGTGTCGACATGGCAGCTATTGGCACTGGTGTCGACATGGCAGCTATTGACATTGGTGTCGACACGGCGGCTACTGACATTGGTGTCGACATGGCAGCTATTGACATTGGTGTCGACATGACAGCTATTGACATTGTCATTCATGCACTGGCACGCTGAATGGCTGAGCGTCATTCCATATTTGAGTACTACGAGGACACGCATAATGACGACATCGATGTTTTACCACGTCTGAAAAATGCTTATTGCACTAATAAGCGAACCAGCAAACATAACCACTGATCTCACGGCCATCAGCTGGTGATAGTGATAGCTTGTGGTGAAATGAAGCTAGAGCACTCGGTCGCTTGGCCCCAAAAATATTTTCGCGCTAAGCCGAGTTTGCATATGCCGGCACCCGTGCCGTATAACTTTGCACGGTGCCCGTGCGATCGCTTCGTTCCCGGACCCGGCCAAAACGGTCGGAAAGCGCATTTTCGATTAAAGTGAACGCGCGATGCGATTGGATGATGGCCTCAATGTGTGTACAGCAAGGTTCTGCTTGCAGGCTTTTTCACCATGCTTCCATGGGTGAGGCGGTTCCGTGCAGTGAATCACGCGCCGCCTAGTCACCAGATATTTTCTGCATCGTTCGTTCTAAACGGCAGAGCCTTCAGCTTGGGAGTTAGCCGTCTTTACTGCAAAACATAGCGTGGCCACCAAACGGACGCGGCGTTGTACCGGTCTGGAGTGCTAAATTCGCTCACAGTACGCTTATATGCCGTTGGATTTGACCATGTCTTACACTGTAGACCTTAGGTACCATGTGCCTCCCAGTCAAGGGCCAACATTTTCATGGTACGGCTGCACACGGTTCCAGCGTAACGCCCCTCCTTTATTTATCCAGGCAAGAGTGTTCTGTTTCGTTGGCAAGACCCCAAACACTCTGATGCATCCACCGCAAGCCCCGCGACCATGGCTGGCCATCATGATTCCTGTCCGCCCCTGACGCCATGCGATGGGCCTGAACCAGGTCAATGGCTACCTCAATTTGGGTCCGGCTGATGTTTTCGTAAGTAAGCCTTTCGTTAAAGTAAGGGTTAAGCGTCTTTCTCTTCACGGACGTTTTCTTCTTTTTAGGCTTCCTGTTGCCAAGAAGAAGTTCTAGTTTTACATACGGATCTGAAAATGAAGAATCGGAGAACATGCCAGCGTGATATCCCATAACAGCGCGAAAAATTCCTTTTCCGTCTGCGTTTAAAACTCAATGACATCACACTATGGGGAACTGCGCCCAAAAACAAGACGATGTTGACGTCTTGCAGCAGCATCCAGTGACTCAAATGTGACCGATTAGTTTTTCAGATATCACGGGCAGCCCGTCATTGTCGCACGCCAATCATGATCTTTGTCAATTTTATATTTTTCCTAACGCTGCTGTGAAAGTAAAGAAAATTGTAAGAGTGAAAAGCGAAAAAGTGAAAGAAACACAGAAACGAGTAGCCTCGTAGCGGGCTTGTGTGTCGTGCTCACACGGCGTGCACGACAATAGACAATGCCAAGTAGAAGGCTTCCTAGCCCATTATAAGATCCCTAGTCACTCTGGGGTTCGTTACTTGTAGCTGGCCACGTCTGAAACCTGTGAGCTCAAGTGCAAAAATAACAAATCGTAACCCAAGATTTGCAGTCACAAAAAGAAAGCCTCATCCACAACGGCAGCTAAGGGGCACCAAAAAACTGCATCTGTATGCGTGTTGTCTCGCTGTACTGGGCACGAAAAAGACAATTATTCAAAGCGCGTCGCCTACAGCTAACGAAGGCGCACTTCCTGTGCTCACCCGATAGGCCACCCACGTCCATCTTCTTCAGGTTCTTGGCTTCGAGGATGACCACTGTCAGCTTGCCGGCCGTCGGGACATACCGCAGCGAGAAACAGATGTCTCCCAGCTTGTTTTCCTATAGGATAAACGTTTCAGTCGTCAAGGGACAGCTGGCGACGGAGGCCAGCCAACACCGAGTGTGTCGTCATTGCCGATCGGAGTCGGCAGCGCAGACACTGGGCTGGACTAGTCGTCTGTTTCTGACGGCTCTCTGGAGCACATTCGACGCAACACATACGATGAAAACGACGCCATTCAGAAGCAATGGAGTATTCGCCCCCACCCCCAACCCCTCACCTCCCAGTCGCTGGCACAGCATGAGAGCTTTGAACGGCTATGCCAGGGTCTCAGCGTATCTTTACTGGAGGTGTATGCGTGTGCAACAGTCTCGTGCGTCACACTACTGAACCTCAACAACCCAGAACTTAAACGATAACCGACTGTCGTGGCAACAAACCCTTGCGCGTCAAGTACCATTGTTTGTTTTTGCCATGCGGCTGAATTTCCTCTACTCCGTCCCCGGTATACAGTAAACAAAATATCTTATCCCAGTGCCAGTCCCAGTTGCCCACCATCCATCCCACCAACGAAATCAACCCCACCACATCCACTCCTGTCACATCCACATCACCTACCTCGCCACGGCAGAGAATCATTCTCATCGCATGCATATTTCGATTCAATGCGACCGAGTCCGACGGCCTTACGAAACATCGATCACTCTCGTGATAAAAGACGTCACACGGGTTCTGACCTCGTTATTTTAATCCGTGCCCAAATACCCCCGGGACCACGGTAGAGGTGGCCACAGCGGCCGAACCCTGCACTGTCCGTGGCATATCGTTGGCCCGATTCAGCGACGAGGCGGCGGTCTGCAGCTCACCGTCAGGCGAGGGGGGGGGGGAGGAGGGGCAGCTTCCGACGACCGCCGGCGCCGCGTGGCAGACGGCTGCCACACCGCCGGGAGAACCTGCCATACCACCGGGAGAACCCGCCGCACCGCCGGGAGAACCCGCCACACCGCCGGGAGAACCCGCCACACCGCCGGAGAACCTGCCACATTGCTTGGAGAACCTGCCACACCACCGGGAGAACCTGCCACACCGCCGGGAGAATCTGCCACACCGCCGGGAGAACCCGCCACACCGCCGAGAGAACCTGGCACATTGCTTGGAGAACCTGCCACACCACCGGGAGAACCTGCTACACCGCCGGGAGGGCAAACCGACAGCTGCAATGCAATTTTCAAGCTGCACTCACTTCTCAGGAGGCTATGAAAGCTGCGGACACGTTTCATTTCATGGAGGAGGCTAAGGAAGCTGCTGTGGCTACAATGGGAACCCCAGGGCTTTCATTACAGAACGCATGCCAGCTACCCCCCCCCCCCCCTTCCCCAGCCCGAGGGTGAAGCTGCAGTATTACTTGGAGATGCATCTGCATCGCAACATTTCGGAAGTTTTCCACGGAATGAATGGCGCTAAAACCAAGGAAGAGACGCCCAATTCTCATTTTCACTCCGAAAATTTGTTTTACAAATTCCATCGACCTTCCCACGCACCCACCCAGACGCTGCTTGCAGCAGTCTTGACCAGCGCTAAGAATCTGGTGAGCTCTCATCTTAAATGACCTTCGTTAAACGTCTTTGGTTGTGACCCATAAAGTACCTATTTCGCGACATTTATGATCAGTCGCAATATCCGTGCTAAGGCTATTACGGTTTGTTCAGAAATGATCGATGTTTCCGAAGATGTGATATAACTTCAGGGGCATTCAAAACGTCACATCCGGCTGAGAATGGGGTGCGTTTCTTATATCGCCCTAAGGTTACAGGCCACCATGTAGCTCTAACAAGTCTGAGGGTAGGCTTTTTACCATATCCCTAACCAAAGCCTGGTAAAGGGATGCTCACACGCGGTCTGAGCCGGGGTGGGGAGTTGTCAGTGAGCCTCCCCGGGCAACCCATCTGCCCATCGATCGGTGACGTCACGCCAGTCACCAGCGGTCAGAGTGGCGCCGAGCCCCGACGGGCGCTCCTAAGTCCTCACCCGGTCTGATCAGACGGGCCCTCCTAATCCCTCACGCGGTCTGACCAGGGATTAGGGCCCTCCTATTCCCTCACCCGGTCTGATCAGACGGTTCCTCACCACTCCTCAGCCGGTCTGGCCACACGGTCCCCCATCATCCCTCATCCGGTTTGACCAGACGGTCGGTCACCATCCCTCACCCGGTCTGATCAGACGGTTCCTAATCATACATCACCCAATCTGACCAGGGATTAGGGCCCTCCTAATCCCTCACGCGGTGTGACCAGACGGTCCCTCATCGCACCTCACCCGGTCTGACCAGACGGTCCCCCATCATCCCTCATCCGGTTTGACCAGACGGTCCTTTACCATCCCTCACCCGGTCTGACCAGACGGCCGCCCATCATCCCTCCTTCGGATTGGTAAAAAGGAACCTCTTCCCTCAGCCGAGATGATGGAGTGGCGCTCCCCATCAAAGAGTGCGGCAATTAAGGCCAGTGGCGATGGAGTCACCTCGACTTTCCGAGAATTTAACCTTGGTCAACAAACGTCAACTGGAAAGAAACAACAAAAAATTGGTGCCACCAATTTGGGAGGACTTTCACTGGCCCTGTCCTATCCTTTACGTAGGGTAATGGGAGGGTGGTTCCTATTTCGCACCCGGTCTGATGAAACGGGTTTTAAGAGTTCGTGTGTCGATAATAATCAGACCATCAGCATACCAAGAAGAACTGAATAACATCACATATCGGAGCAATTATCAAAATATCTCATAGAATTGCCCAACATTTCCAGCAACGTTCATGATCTCAACACACCATCGTGCGAGTTGAAATGCTGGCCGCGTCGAATGGACAACAGTATAACCCATTTTTCCGCTAAGATATACATCAAAGTGCACCAAACAACACCGACATCTAAGCTATTCTCACGTCTCAACACCGGTTTGTGAATTAAGTTCACCTGCGTCTAATGCTTCTACTGGCGTATGTTGCGTACTAAATATGCGGACCAGATACCTATCAACACTAATACTTTTGCAGTCGATAGATATAACTTTAGTCGTTCTGCCTAACAAAATCTTCTCGTGAGACCAATCGCTGAAGTGCATCGGTGTCGAAAGCATGCTTATTGTTTGTTGACAGCCAGCGGTAGTGAATCGTTGCGATGCGAATTTTTTTGAAGCCGCTTCGGACAGAATAATGCACATCAGCGATTGCATCTGACCGAGCATTGTCCAGAGGATCACAAGCCGTACTCCCAGAAACCTCTGAACTCTGAATCTACATTTGCCCTAAATCACATCGCACTAAAGTACTCGGCCAACGGCACGCACCCTACACGCATACACGTCGCCAGTGTCGTTACTACTGACCTCGGGCGGAAGCCTAGCGGCGACGCTCTGGCAGCCTCTACTCCTGAACTCGATACCCTGCATCTAGACACGGTCACTGCGCTCCGCCCCGCCCCGAGTACGCCGGCAGCGGGAGAGATACTCACAGGAGGAGGCGGCGGTCGGAGGCGACGACAGACACGGCGAAACGGGCGCCCAGGGCGGGGGGCGAACCAAGACAGGTCAGTCAGGCCAACAGAAAGGGCGGACATCAGCGTGGCAGCAGTGGTGTACCGTTGTACAATGCTGGTGAGTTGCTCCGACTAACACCAACTTCTCAGAGATGATGAGTTGAGCAATGCAGTAATGGTAACGAGCTCTGTGGCATGCAGTACGACTTTAGCTGATGCACAAAGTATACGTTGTTTAATCCCGAGACTGCCGGACGTGTCCAGGGGGAGGAGGATGTGCCACGTCCCATGCAGATTTGTGCTTGATTCACAGGCATACTTAGAATCGACTTCGGAATGAAGGAAGTTTACGTTGAGTCAGTTGAAATCGATTGCTTTGAAAATTTGAGGCAGGCTGACACTCAGACCTAAGTCAATCATTTTGAATGCAACTGTTTATGAGTCAGCTGAAATGGAAACATCATAAATGAAGGGATTATTCTAATGGTTCAAAAATCCAGTGCCTCCAGCTAGATCCATGGCAAAACTAATCGTCTTGCTTTCGGAATGGTTCCATAGGCCTCTAGGTACTACACTATCTGACCTTCGAACTCTGACCTCTAGCCTCTGACCTCTGAACTCTGTTCTCTAACCTCAGACACCGGGACCGACGATCAAGGCCCCCCCCCCCCTCCTCTCCATTGTGGCTAGCGACCCGACAAGAATTGGAGAGCATCCGTTAATTGCTGGGCCCTCACGTCCTAAAGGGGTATCTATTTTAACGCCAGTAGGAGTTTCTGAGTCGATACTAGTCCAGCTGCGTCGTTCAGAAGGCCTGCCAGGTCAGCGAGGCAACATATGCATAATGCATTCCTCTGAGGGCCTAGTGATCAACCGAGTGCCGTGGCCCCTGTAGTGCCAGAAGTGCATCCAGTATGTACCCCCGGCCGGGACCGAAGGGCCTATCAGCCTCTGACCGGAAACGGCGACGTGCCATCAAGTATTCTACACGCAGGGCCCTCTGCCCGGGAAAAAATCAGCGGTCTATACTACTAAAAGTAGCCTTGTTTAGGCGGGATCAAAACGGGGTAAGCAAAATTATTGCCATGGCCAACACGTGTTTGCACGAGCACATCCATCCGTGCTGAAATAGACTAGTTAGAAGCGGATTCCAAACAGATTTAAGCACGCGCGCTCGCAATCTTTGAAGCACAAACACCGATACGCGGTGTTGTAGTTTTCGACGAACCGAGTAACGTTGGCGGCCTCAGCCAACACCAGGTGACGGGCGCCGGATGGGCAAGAACGACTGTCTTCAAAATCTATTCGCACAGTTCAAAGCTATGACGGGGCATGAGTACCGTCTGCACGGTTTTGAGGTTCATCCTTCGAACGGATTGACAGTCACAGCGACAAAAATATAGATTCGACCGTTACGCGGTGCCGTTAATGCTCGTCTGTTCCCATTGCCAATCTGACAATAGCACAGACAAAATCTGCGGCACGTGATGCTTTTTATGCGTACAGATTACATTCATAAAACACTAAAAGGTACTATTTTCCGACACATGGTAGTTTTCGTCCGCCAGCTTCTACTGGCCATCAAATGTTACAAAAATCACTTTTATACCGGGAACGTGGGCCCTGAATGCGTTTCAACCTGTGGTTTCCAGCCAATTGCCTGAGAGATCGGGAGCAGTCCAGCAGTCTCGGGACTCGGTGAGCAAGAGAACAAACGTGAGAAAGAAGCGGACTTACTGCCTACAGGGTCCGAGCGGGGTGGCGGTGCGCACGGGTGGACGCAGACGAAAGGGCGTTAGCCAAGACAGACGGAGAGAGAGAAAGAGACGACAGACGGCACCGTTGGCAGCCACGGAGACAGGGCAGCGACGACATCGACATTCCGGGTACTAGGGCCGTTAGGGGTGCGCCGGCCGGGTGGGGGCCGGTGACACGGACATGGTGAAGACGAGCTACACAGTTGGCCGCCGCTCGTTATGTTCAAGCATTCGCGACGCGGCGTGACGAGAGGCAGGGTCAACAAGGCGGTGGTGACCTAAGGGCAACAGAGCGTTCATGGCAGGGCAGTGCTCTACTAGCAGAGGCGCTCAGCGGGTGGATCAAACCGAAAAGCACTCTGCTCCCGGCTAACACAGAGGAACTCTAGGGTCTACGTGGCCTTCCACCACCCCAGTGGGCGAGCGAGCCCAGCCGTCCGCCCGACGCCGGCGGACCGAGGCTCCGGCGGACCGTCGGCAGCCGTCGGTGCCCCGCCCTCGACTGACCTGGCCGCCGTCGCCCTCGACGCTGACCAGCTCGCGCCACTCCTCGATCGTCTGCGCCAGATCGATGGTACAGAGCGGCAGCTTGACCTCGCCGATCTGGTCGTGCTTGGAGAAGCGGTCGAAGTCGTAGATGGCGAACACGAGAGTCTTGCCCATGGCGTCGGCGTACGGGACCTGGCGGGCGCGGGGCGTCAGCAGCGGCGGCGGCAGCGGCGCCGGCGGTAGCCGGCTTCACGGTGTGGCGCCGAAGCTGGCTTTTACACGCGCTTAACGGAAGGTTCTCAGGCGACGCGAGCTGGCGGTTGACTCTCTTTCAGTGCGACATTACGCCCGTAAGAGAACTGAATTAGCGAAGCGTGGCGTCAGCGCCAGTTAAGGATGTCGTTTGACACCCGCTCAGCGAACCGTAGCGCAATTTTGGCAAAGGTGTGCTGCAGTATGAACCGCAGCGCAGCTGCGTGGTGGGAGCGATGACACGTTTTGTCTCCAGCCCGCCCGGTGCACCCGTGCGGGCTATACTTACCGCCGGCGATGTATGATGCTTGGTGGACCCGCCCAGCCCGAGCCCCCAGCTATCCACTGCACGCACATGCTTATTTCACCTGAGATAGAGTCAGGTGGCGCCAAAGTGTGCCGAAGAAGGGCTATTTATGGGCAGGGTAACAATATCACTTGAGCCCAGCACCTTGACGACTTCGTCGAGTAGCCACAAAAGAGAAACTGCTACAGGGCAACGGATACAACCTAGGATGTTAGCTGAAGTGGGTCGAGGATAATTTAGGGAGCTCACGGGCCGACTTTGCTAGTAACTCGACGCCGGAATGCCGAAGCCAAGCATGCTGGCGGGGAACAGAGCAGCGTCCTAGTCTGAGGGCCACATTGTGCCAAATTGAAGGACGGTTTCTATGAGCGCCTACATTACATTCCGACTATAGAGTGTGCGGGCGTGTGCATTGGAGTTTGGAGGTGCCAGACATCATGCGCGGTGTGCATTGAATGCTATCTATAGAAGGTGACACGTGTTGGTACACAACTGTAAGATGAAGTTTGCCATTCAAGCTTAGGCCCTCATCATATACGTATCCGAGCAATAGCAATTAAGTACCAACCTGCGCTATATATATACATATATATATATATATATATATATATATATATATATATATATATATGTGTGTGTGTGTGTGTGTATACAAGTTCAAGGAATGGCAACGAGCAGTTACATTCTCAATTCAGTATGCCTGTTGCGCCGGGTGCATGACATGTTTTATGAACAGTGTTGTGTAGGTCTAGGCAGACACGAGTGAGTGTGCAAGTTCCAAAGCTGCAAGCCATCAGCAGAGCTGCAGTATCAACTATCTCTCATCGCCAAAGCTATAGCAAAAGCAGTCCAACCCAAGCCGCCGCCAACGTTGGCCAATCTCTTCGAACCAAACCGCCCTCAGCCAACGTCACGGCGTCCCAGCGCGTCAGACCATTCCAGAAATGTGAAAACCATAACGGATGCAAGAAGGAAAACACTTACGTTCTGCTCACGATGAAAGAACAACCAAACCATCGTTACGAAGCTGCACATCATAGCATGGTGGGTGATTGGCACGGATGAAACACGGCTCAGGATGCGTGGACGACCACGGAACCTTCGGAAATCCACCGCTCCTAAGCCTTTAGGCACCACCAATTTGGACTAGTGACATTATTCCCCATGAAGATTCTGTTCGTGTGTTCTTTTATCAAATCACAGGCATTTTAAAGCACTTCGGCAGGGAGTAGGGAGTACCAGCGTATGATACGGTGAAACCACACAAAAGAGGTGAACTTTCGGAAAAGGGAAATGCTGTGTAGTTAGCAACAGTGCTCGCAAATCATATGGTCCTCACTGGTAAGCGTCGTTTATTTCGCACATGTAGCTTAGTGCTCTAGCTTAGTGCCGATATACTCTTTACACTACGACATTATCACAATAAATATAAGTCATTAACTGTTAAACCGTAACGAAATCGAGGCCACTTGGACGCAATGCATACGTCATGAGCAGCAATATAGCAAACCTAGAAATAAACTAAGAATGAATAATTCTAAGTTATTCTGACAATCCATTGCATGATTTGCTTGTATTCTTATTTATGTCAGCAAATCCCCGTTTCTTTCTTAATAAATATCGGCCTGTATAAATTACTTATCATAGTTCCCTTCCGTCCCAGCCATGATCAACAAGGCACATTAAAAAATTGGAGGCTGTACCTTGAAAGTAAACGTCTCGTTGAAAACTGGATTCAGTGTCTTCCTGTGGACCTTGGTCTCGAACTTCTTCTTCTTGTCGGGCAGGAGGTAGACTTTGACGTAAGGGTCGGAGGTGCCCCCCATATCCAGGGCCGGCAACTCCTCGCACTGGATCACTGTTACCGTCAGGTTGTTGGAGTTGAAGTCGTATTCCAGCTGCCGGGGTAGACAAAAAACATCACTATGCACTGAGATGTGGGACGAATGCAGGCAGAAACGTAGCTCGCAACTGCTATTCACAATACCACGCCGCCACACCACCAGGCGTGTCGCGGGTACATGCAACCCAAAAACATTGTGCTCTTCAAGCGCATTCCACACTGCAAGGTTCAACTTCAGAAATACACTGTGGGATCTCGGTAACGAATGTCGGTGTTGCGCCTTGGAAAAACGATGACAGCTGCGCACCACTGACGAATGTGATAGTCCCATCAGTGTCGCCACTGTCCAAGATTCAGCCATCCACACAACACTGATGATGTTAAGCGCGGTCTCAATCACATACCGCTGACTAAAATATATAGCTCATATAGTTCGACTAGCTTAAGTTCACCGTATATATATATATATATAAATGGATAAATATATATATACACACATATATATATATATATATATATATATATATATATATATATATATATATGTGCGAGCGTATGTGTGTCTTGGGCCAGGAGAAGTGTGCCATTTTACTAAACCTGTGTCGCAGTTTTTGCGAAGCGCACTTTGCGGTTTCAGTACTGTCGCCTGATGTAACTCACACAGCCGCAGAATAACTCGAGGTGATTTCGGATACTGACCTTGAACTGGAGCCGGCCGAGTTTCTGCTCCGACTGCTTGCTCTCTCCCTCCTCGGCAATGTCCTCGGCGTTCTCGGTGAGCTCCTCCATGTCGGGCTGCACCTTGAGGACGGGGCGTCGCCCGGCGGGCGGGTCAGTGTGGCGGCGTGGTAGCTCGAGTCCCCGGCGCCCCGTCATTAAAGGGTTCAGTGAACTTGGGGCTTGCGGCGGTGTTGTTTTATGAGTGGTCGTTAACTGCTCCGTTTCTCACCGTGCAGGCTGCAGCGGCCGCTTGCGGTCCATGCACACAGCCGATTTCATGGTAAGATGCTGCGCACATAGCCAAGAGGACGTAAAGAGCAGTGACCTCTTGCAGCTTGTCTTCTTGCGCATGCCAGTCTATTCACACGCGCCCGGGTGGCCGGTTAAATGCCCTGCGCTCTGGTGGGGGATGGTCAATTTGACCCGCTGGGATCTAAAAGACCTAAGAGACCTAGAAATATACACTCACAGGGAGGGATGACCTGTTTATGAGCTAGCTAATGTCAAAATTTTGAGTTCCTAGGTCATGAACATAAGGCTTCAATAAGGTCAAACAAGGCCAAAATCTAGATTGGTGTCCAAAGTGTCCCCAGACATACAGCGGTTTGAACCTAGGGTTCTGTCTTAACTTAAAGGTTACTGGTATTCAGTTAAGGTTCATGGCCTAGTTTTTTTAGGTCATGGTGATCTAAAACCCTACCACCTTGTTTTGATTTTGGCATGTGAATCAGCGCCATGGATTACGCTAGGCGGTATGTTTGTAAAAAATGTGTTGGCCTTGGCCATTTTAGGTCGGTAGCCTATTCTGACGTATACAAAGTCCCTGTAAGACGTCTGCTGCGGTTCCTCATTAATCAGTTTGAAATGGGCACCAGAGACTAGCTGACCCTGGGCAATTTAAGTCCGTTTTATCATGAATTAAATTCACTTGTTTATTGGCTAAGAAACTATATAAGAGATATGTGGCTTTGTATAACACTCCATTGTTGCATCAGATTGAACAATTCACTAGAAATTGTCTTAGCTGACAACCGCGACCCGATCTTGACCTGCATAGGTCAGCGACCTTACAAGGTAAATCGAAACTTTTTATATAAAAACATCTGCCATTAAATTGCGTACAGCTATGCAACCCTTGGCAAGGCTACGTCGCACCGTTCTGAACTTAGTCTGGAAAAGCCTTTCGTGGGTGAAATGGACCTTCACCCGAGCGCGTGTTATGTTATTTTGCACCGCGCTCCTTGACATACATACTCATGTCGAGTTATTGGGGGGCGCCCGCAAGCACGCTGAATGGCATTGCAGGCACACACATCATCACACGTCAGCGTGGGATTGAACATGGAAATAAGTATGGACCTGTTCATGGCCCATCTGTACTGTCGCGTTGCCAGGCGGAGTGTGTCTTCCGCTAAGCTATACATTTTTGCAACGCATAGAATGAGCGCACCCACTAAGACTGTTCCATCCCAGATCGTTTTGCTACACAAACGCATGCGCAAAAGGGAAGGCAAGGACGTTGCTCCTCCCTGGCAAGGCAATTCAATGTTGTAAGGCTGGTCAAAATCTTTCAGGACACACGGTGCATATGGAAAAACTCGGATTGTGCACAGGCATATCGATCAGAAAAGAATCGGCAATAACATTACCTCTCCGCCTTCTCCTTCTTTCTGGAGTGACCAAACATCACAAACAGGAATTAGGGCATTACATTAACTCGATAAGGTAACACGCCTATCGTTAAAGCAAACCGACGGCACCAAGACCTGGTTAGCTGGATTATGTTTTCATTGTGACACCGTGGCGTGGAGCGGAGATGGGATTCGAATAGGGGCCTCTACGTCTGCGGCGCGACAAATATGAGCAACGACCGCGCCAGCGATGGGAGCGGGCTACCCAACAAGTCCACTGTCCTCAGCAGCGTCGTTGTATTGGAATACAGGCTATAGGTGTAGTGATCCAATAGCGTTGACTTAGTGTGCAGGGATAGGATTGGTTCATGCCTCGCGCCGTTTATGAAGACAGGTCGCTTGAAGAGAATATGCTCGTGCTCGCCGTTTGATGCGGACGGGAGAACCTCGAAAAAGCTGGCGGGGTTTATGTCTACGAATTAACATTTTCGTTTCCAAATCGCGCAAATTACTGTGCTCAACCTCCCCAAAACACTGCCATCTTATCGCAAAAAAGGCACGTGTGACAGCTTTCAGAAACAGGCGCGTCTCCGGGTGATCAAATGAATGCCGGCATACCACCAGCGGCACAGTCCATGACACGATCAGGTCACGTCCAACATTGAGTTCAAGACAGTATGATTGTTACCTTCTCTTTGTAGGCACTTCCCAAGAGCTGCACCGACTTCATGTCCACGCCCTTGCCACCTTTGCCTTTGGCATCTTTGCTTCTGCGCTTTCGGAAGCATCGTCTGATGCAGCAGAAGCAGATGCCCAGGATGAGGATTCCGATGCCTGAGGAACCAGCTTCTGTCAACTGCCGTCACCACCGCAGCACATGGCTGACGTCACGGGAAAATCTCCAATGACGTCACTGAAACGAATAGGCCGGGATGGGCGGAGCAGAGAAACGCACGCGGGGAAGGCGGCATGGGTTCAGTTCCCGTCAGGGAGCAGTCTGCTGTAGCAGCAGGGAAGGCATCACCTTCAGCAGGAAGTGGACCATAACTTCGGCCGCCGGTGGCCACGGACTGAGCATGCCATTAAGCTCTGTCAGCCCGGTTGGACTCCATTATACCAGGGTCAGATATTCATGAGCGTAGGACATTCCAAAAAGTGGGCTAGCCTTAACCCACTTAGAGTCTTGTTCTTGCCATACATCGCATTGAGTTGATGCAAAATGTTTAAAAAGTAGGTGGTCCACGACCCACCCGACTCATCAGTCCCCCACGTTAGTGGTTAATGGCATGTTTCTCAATGGTTGAAACAGTTGGCTGGCGTTGTTAGCATTTACACATCGGGTTTTGTTGGGAAAAAATGCGCCCACAAGCAATCCGAAGAAACAGGCTGCACATGGTGGCGTTGCAACCAGCACTAGATCGCGACACCGCGCACAAGAATCATGCCATTGACAGGAATATGACGCTTCTGAAACGCTGGTCATTGATCTGATTATCCAGTCATCGATTGCAACAGCGTAGTGGGCGTATGCGTGGCCACGGATAGGGCTTCGGACGGGGATCGGTCTGTCACTGTGTCGTTCAAACAAGCATGAGCCACCCGTCACCTGCCTACGACAGGTGGCACCAGCTGGGCCTGACGGGGCAGTACCCTGGCTGAAATAGCTGTCAAACGGGGAGATCGGCGTCTACCGTGTTACGTAGGTTCTGCTACGTAGGTGTGCAACATGCTATTATTTTCGTCGCACTCCAGTAAGTATTGACGCACCGCGCTTAGGCACATCCTCCAAAAAAGGCCGAAGGCAAGGTCTTGGGCTCCAAACCGCAGCCCCCACCCGCCATCCTCCAGGGGCCACGGGGCAGACACGCTCCGTGCGGCCTGTCCTGAGCGTTGTAGCCTGGCGGGGTCCACGTTCGCGGTCCGCTAGCCGTGCTTTCCCGTGGAGCCCGCGGTGGGGGCCGGCCGCCGCCCTGTTCGCCGCCGGCGGACGGTGTGGGCGGTGCGCGCGGCCGCCGCCGGCGCTGCCCGCTCAGCTGGCCTTGCCTCAGCGCGCGCTGCAGCTATTGATTAGTGCCGCCGTCGGCGCGGCGGCGGCGGCGGCGGCGACGGCGGCGGCGGCGGCGGCAGCCGGTTTCGACGGGTACCGGGTGTGTATTCGATAGCGACCGAGCAGAGCACTCGGCACACCTGCGTGCCGCGCCGGCCAGAGCCTGTCAGCTGCACCAGCTGGTGAACGTCTCGCAATGCCGCCCTGCTGACGTGGTCCACGTGCTTGTGGGGCGCGGTGAAAACATCCCCGTGACTTGTGAGGCCTGCCTTACGCTTGCAAGGCCTCCCGTACGCTTGAACCCGATTTAGAGCAGTCAAATAGCACAAACATGCATGCCATTTGTACCGATGACGTTCGGGAAGAATGAGATCATGCGCTTAGTTAATTTTGTACGGCGTTGAGACGCCTCTGAGCTAAAACCAGCGCACCCGAGTCCGTTAAACATCAAAGCCACGCATAAATATGCTCTAGTCTGTTCAGCTCGCTTTGCATTTAAGGGCCAACCAGCGTAATGGTCCCACAAAATATTGGACGCTAAAATTAGATCTCAGCGGCAGTGGCGGCAGTCCACCACGCCGCCCCACTCACCTATCAGGATAGCGATGAGGGCCGGGAACGGGATGCCCATGGACTGCGCCATCTTGCGCGTGCCCGCCTCAGCCTGCTTGAGGATGATGTCGCCCTGCGACTCGGTGGTGGTGGTGGTGGTGGTGGCGGCGGCGGTGGTCGCCGCATCCTCTGGCGCGGCCGTGGCGACCTCCTGCGCCGCATCGCCGCCCTCGTCGTCCGCCGCACGACGCAGTCGCGCCCGCATCCTCAACCCTGTCGGCCGGTCGGCACACACCCTCAGCGGTGCGAGCGCCGCGCGGCGCCGACGGCCACCAGCCGTCACCTGGCGCCGACGGCGACAAGACGTCGAAGACGGCGCCGTGCGTCACGGCGGGAGGGACGGACGGAAGGGAGGGGGCGCCACGTCGCAGCTCGGTTGAGTGGGGCTCATGCCCGCTGCGGGACGCGTCAATCAGCTGCAGGGAAGGGCTGACGGATTCCAGCGTGCCGCCCTCGCGGGCCGCGCGGGGTCGCCCGGCCTTTGCGTCCGCTTGCGGTGCGCTTTGAACACGGATGTAGGGTTTCAGGCTGACTGGACGAGCATCTGGCGTGTTCGGCATATCTCCAAAGGCTCGCTGAAGATATGAGAGATATGCGAGAGAAATATGGGATATGACTGTGCTTACGAGTGAGCATTCATTCAGTATGCATTCATTTTACATGCAGGGTAGCAGTCATCCGATTTTATTTTAAAACGGCAATGATGTACTCGGGGTGGAGACGTCACACGTCATCCCAGCCAGCTGTTATACTGCTCTCACCCATGTATACCTTAAGACGCGTGCAGTAAAGAAAACAAACCATGTTCATCAGAAGCGCGGTCGTTCTTTATAAGATCCTGTTTCCTGATCCTGTTTCCTGATCCTGATCCTGTTTTGGCTGTGGTTCTGTGTGTCTTTATCTTGTAATCAATGGGTACGGACTGGGATCATCTTGGGTCCCACGAGGGATCACAATCGCAGGAAATCATGGGCTTTGACGTCATGACGCGGAATCGTTTCGCCCCCAGCTTTGCAAGTGACAATTTCAGCACCAGGCTTTCGTGATCTGATAACCCGTTGATCCATATTTAACCAAACTATGCCGGCAATGCGGGGCGGTGCTGCATTAACGGGTGAGAGCGTCCGTTAATAGAGCACCCCTTGGGCTATTTTAAGAACCTACGACTCCCTGCGAGACTACCCAAAACCTGTCGGGATGTAAACGACAGTTCGAAAAAAATTTGAGCGCCAGTACATACTCCGCGTCCATGTTAGTCAAGGAATGCCACACTGACATCTTTCACTTCTTGCTGATGTCTTGCTGATGTGCAAATCACTCACATTTTGGTAGAGTCGGTGAACATGGTTGTGCAGTATCCGTAACAATCAGTTGTTGCTGACATTTGATCCAACAGCGCATTGTTATGCCTTAGAATCATACCATGATATTGACAACGCTGATGGGCTATCCGTCATGTCAGGACAAGCCGGTCAGGAAATCGGGCCAGCCCAATGTGTATGAGTTTCCTGCTCTTATGTTTCACATGACTTCTAGTATTCGCTGGTTTGGGCAATGCGTTAGTTAGGCTTACTTTGGATATAGGTTCCTGCATTCACATTGATTACCCACCGACGTCACAAATTCCCTCAGCTCAGCAAGTCACAGTTGACCATGCAAGCCCAGTACTAATGCCATTGCGCGAGCTCGAGTGTTATGGCCGCCCCGGAGCTCGGGTCAGACCTCGATTTGACAGCTTTGACTGTATGCTAGTCCGAGTCCCGGGATAGCACACAGTCAAACCAGGCGGTCAGTCACACCGAAACATTTCAAACAGGAGGGAGCAAGAAGTGACGGGCATTGTATAAATAGCAGGGCATGAATAGTAAGAGCATAACTGGCCATACATCTTTTTGGATGTGATACCATAATCCGGCGACCAGATTCGTCTTTTTCTCCTCCGTAATGTGTCGAAGTAATCGCGTTACATGCGTGGAAAATTTGGAAGACCTTACGCCAGGAACAATACAATCATTAGGGGACGATTTGTTTTTAGCACCGAGTAGCTTGCAAGTAAATATTTGCCAACATTTGGGGTTTTACCTAGGCCCTAAGGCTCTAAAGTCTGATTGGCGCGTCACTGCCCCGAGACATCACAGCAGGATACCGAGCCTAAAAAGGTACCCCGAATCCAAAAGCAGCGCCTCTATGCGACAATGAGGGGCCCCTTGGCTGGAAACGCCCGATGACCCGATTTGGCGCGCTTCTGGGCGGGGCCTGGCTACGCTACTGGCCAGAGAGGGGTTGGGGAGGGGGGAGGGGGGAGGGGGGGGTACCCCCCTTACCAGTTCCGGTGGATGAGTGTCTGCGTGTTACTTTCTTGTTTTTTTCTCTTGCATGTTCTTATCTGCTTTACTTTTGACACGCGGCTGCAATAGCCACGCTGCATTGTAGAGGGCCTTTTGGGCGTAACAAATACAAACATGCAAACAAAATCTCTTCCGTTTTCCGATCACGTGCCTGATATTTGAAAGCCAAGATCATAAACGGAACGGTGGAATCTCCACGAATGCTACGAACATCACTGCAGGCTATCATACCTTTGATCTTGGATGGCCTTGTACCCACAACTTATTCATGCACAGCGATGATGCGGCCATTTGCAAGTCTATCTGATCCGACCTTTGCTTTGAACAGCTGTGGAGTCACAACCGACGCACGCTAGTCATTTCGGGTTCCGAATGGCGGCAGCGTGGCTTTACTTGACCTCAACTTCAAGACTGTATCTGATGTGCGCCCTCCCGAGCGACCTCGGCAATCTCCGGCATGCATGTCGCTCAATGTAAGCCCAATTGATTCTGTGAGAATCTCCCTGTAAGTCTAATTGACGCTTTGAGAATCTCATTGTAAGTCCAACTGGCACCTCAAAAGTATTTACACCCGCAACTTGTGCGAACTGTGCCTATAACATCTCGCACAACGCAGTGTCTCTGCATTTTCGTCACACCAACCAAAAAAAAGAAAGTTGTGCCTACGTGGTCACAGATGATAAAACCTTGAGACTTCAAAACAATACGTATAATCGCCATGGTTCAGATGGCCCAAACTCTCTTGCGTTTTGTCGAAATGCTTAAGAAATTCTTCTGAAAAAGCGAAGTGGAATCGAACCAGCTTCAATGTATGTCCAGGGGCAAACTCCTTGCGTCACAAATGCGTCGCAAATCACATATTTTTGACTAGGTGCAAACACTTCCTTCACCGCTGGGAAGAAGTAATTGATCACGGCGGACAGATTTTTGGTGCCAACTGTCTTTATTCGCACGCGCCCGAGTGGCCGGTTGAATACCCTTTGTTCGGGAAGAAGGGGATCAAGCTGACCCTCTGAGATCACAAAAAGTAAGAAGGCTAGGTGCACCAAATTCACAGGCTGAGCTGGCCTGTATGTGAGTGTACTTGCGCCAGGATTTGGGGTCCCTAAGTTATGAATTTTGGGTCGACCAGATTAGTGTTCAAAGTGTTCCAGACCTCCTCATGCAACAGCTTTTGACCTACATATCCTGAGCCAAAGTTCACTTACGTGCATTTAAGCGTGGTGCCCTTGTTTGACCTCTGGAAAGACATATTGATCCAAAATCCTACGAAATTGCTCTTATTTTTGCATTTGAATAAGCGTCAAGAATTACACTAGGCGGCATGCTCCTAAAACCAAATGCTGACTTGGAGAATTGTAGGTCAATGACTTACTCTGACCTTTAAAAAGTCCATGGAAGATGTCTGTTGCGGTCCCTGTTATTAATAACTTAGGAATGAACATCCTAAACTACACCACGCGCCAAGGTCTAGAGTAAAAAAAGCAGCTTGGCCTAGACCTCAGTCGAATCTTCACAGTGCATGCCGAGCCCTATGCTAGTGTAATTTGCTGTAATACTTAATCCAGCTTTTATTAACCAAGAAACTATCTGAGATGTATATGGCTTTGCCTAACAATCCGCTGTCGCATCAGATAGCACGTTCCTCCAGAAAATGTCTTCGCTGATGTTTATAGCCTGACTTTGACAAACATAGGCAAGCGACCCTGCAAGGTACATCTAATTTTGATGCAAAAAGATCCGCTGTTCAGTTGCATACAGCAACGGAAACTTAAACGCGGCTACATCGCACCGTTCGGAAACTATGTTGTAAAAACCTTCGGCAAGGGCCAAATTGACCACTTACCCGTACTACGAGTGTTATTCTCTCCATTTCCGTTTTTGTGAGTATACGTACAACCACGGATGAGAACTACGCAAGTAAAGTGTGCGTTGTACGGCACGCAGGGGCGTAGCCGAAGAGGAGTTTTTGGGACGATAAACCTCCCTTGGAGGTAACAGTAGCCCACTCGAGCTGAAGACGCCAGTATTTTTTTGGCAATTTATGTCACCCGTGGGGCTTCTAAAACACAACAACGGGCTTGGAGGCATTTAAATAAGACCTGGTCTGAAAAATCCCTGAAATCCAAAACCAGCACCCTTTCATCGACGAAGAGGATGCTTTGGCTGAAAGAACCCACTATAACCCAATTTGGCCGTCTCTTGGCCGAAATCATGTCTACACCAGTGACCTTATGCTTTTAAAAAGCTCGTGCTCCAAATCAAACAATAATGCGGTCAAGAGATATACTTAGTAGTCAGTAAGGTCGGATCATCTCTCTGTCGGAAAAATGCGGTCCATTTTATTATTCAATTGATTTATTTAGGCTACCCTGACTTGTATTTGCTTCCAGGTGGAGTCGGGATTGACTCAGGAATCAGACAAATTTTGCGTCAAATCGAGACAGATTCATATGAAGCGTTCCGTTAAGTGGAGACAGAGTTGAGTCAACATAAATGTCTAGATTCGTCAGTTAGTCGACTAAGATGCAAACGCAGATAAGAAAATATCTTATTTTGAAAGCTTTCGTGGATACAGGATTAAGTGTTTGATAATGCTGTTGTCTTATTGTTGGAATTCACATCGCATGAGGACTTCCTTATAGTTTATAAACCGTTTAGTTCCCAAACTGTTGCGACTGGGATTGACTACATCAGAGTCGATTATGGAACTGAGTCATATCTCCTTGTGTCGGATTGGGACACAACTCGAAGCTGCGAGTCGGAGAATCAGAATTTAAATAATCTCATGCCATGTGGCTTGGAATTGGAATCGATTCGCCTGAATAGAACCGAGCACAAGTGCGGTGCTACTTAGTCTCATCCTCCGGTTTTACCATATAGCACCTGGGCGAACAGACGCACGGGTCACAAATGGTCAGCCTTCCCCGCACAGCGCAGCCAATCCAGCAGAGGTTCACCCCTCCGAGCGAAGACGTAGCTGATGCAGGCGACACTGAGCCACGAGTGCGCATATGCCTAGTCAAACACCATGACAAGCCTTTCGATAATCTAGTTGCTATGCGGCAGGGCGGTCGTCTTGGTCGCGCTTCTGTTGGTCTGGGCTTAAAGTGTCGTGTCATGCAGATTTACTGCTGTGGGTGAGCAACAATGAAAACATTTCCAAAAATGGTTGCGGGCTACGAAAACAAACTGAAATTTTGGCCCATTCATGTCAAGCATCGCCATAGGCGTCAAGTTCAATTATCAGGAAATGCCTCAAAAAGTCTCCAAGAGCATGCACAGCAACGCCCCTCGTGGAACAACAAAGCTCGCCCTGAACGAACTGAATGCTGATGTGGTCTAAGCAAACGCGAAATAAACGAAATGATTTCAACCCATTACACTTAGAAACAGCCGATGCACAGAATAATTTGACAAAAGGATGGATGGGACGGATGTGACGCGGTTTAAACAACATTGTCATGCAAATTGAGCAAGAACTTTTTGCACGCCCATGCCCACTTCTTGCACGCTCAAAACCATTAACGTTGACATCCACCATCGCTGTTAAGGGATGCGTCGTATCTGCTGCCTGCCTGCTGGTCACCATTCGGAACGGAGTCACTTATTTATAAGTTGAGATTTTCAGTCGAGCTGGCACTTACAAATTGACGTCATATAATCACATGGCTGCAGGTAGTGGTCGGGCTTATTGGACAAACACCCACGGGTGTTTGGTGATTGATTTGCATGTGCACTGTTCATATATGTGTCACCTTACATAACCATGAATATCTTCAAACACATAAACAGGCTATCCACAAATAATACACCTTTGCATTTCTTACCGAGGAATGCGGAGCCCTTCACATAAAAAAGGCTTACAGTTCCTGGTTTTCGGCGCCCTGGGTTCAAAGTTTATATGTTGGTTTAACGGCAGTTTTATTCAGACCAGCTCCTGGGAATGAGAACAGCTCGAAGCATTGAGTGCGGTCAATGCAATGTTATCTAATGCCACAACGTCTTTAACCAGCACCTCCTGGCCTATGGAATGCCGTTAACTCAACATGAGAACTTCGACTTCAAAATGCGCAGTCGTTTTGGTGCCTCGTCGCATCAGTCGTACCCAGCACTTCTAAACTGTAATTTCAGCACAATCTGAACGTTTGGCGCAGCAGGAGCAGTGCCATGCTGGACGCCACGCACGTCTCGCCGTGCGGTCGCCCCATGATCACGAAATAATCCAATCCAAGTCTCCGATACCGATCAGGGTGCGGTGGTGTCGGGCGTCGTCCACGGTTAGCGCCCCGTCGACAGGGGACGATCAGCGCACCAGCACCACTCCCAGGACACCACCACACTCCGCAGCACCATCCGCCGCCTACCTTTGTGCTCGGACTCCGCTGGAGGGCGTGGAATCGGGGTCTACTGGCCGCTCATAGCCGTGCCGACCGGCGGCCACAGTCAAGATGGCGCGGGGGGAAAATCAATAGAGGCGCTGCGCAGGGCCGGGCCGCTCTCCCCATCGATATGAGGCCGGCCGGCGGCGCAGCCGGACCCCGGCACCGACGCGGCCGCCGCCCCGCCCCCGCTACCGCTGCCGCCGCCGCCGTCGCCGCCGCCGTCGCGCTCGCCGGGGTCTGCGGGTCCTCCGGTGTACCCACCACGGGGCGCTGGCGGTCGCCGGGCCTGGTACCGCCGCCGTGCTCGCCGGGGCCTGCTGGCCCTCCGGTGTTCCTGCCGCGAGGCGCTGGCGGCCGCCGGGACCGGGAGCGCCGCCGAGCCCGGCTGACGGTCCAGAGCGTCGGCAGGCCGCCGCGCTCGGTCCGGAGAGACCCTCCCACCGCAGTCGCGATGGTCGTGCTTGGGTGCCGGCCCTTGCACCCGGCGGCTCGGCGGCCCAACTGGCGGCGGCGGCGCTACAGACGTGCCCTCGCGGTGTCGTGCGAAACGTGCCGCCATGCGAATGCGGGCTCCAGGTCGACCTTAATTATCCATGCCATTGGCATAGACTGCCACGGCAGCTGCATTGGGCTGTATCGGATTGCATAGCAACGCTCTGTCCCGAGAATGCCTCGTCGAAATTCTTTCGCGAATCTTAGTACGTACGATTTTCACGATGACTATGATATCTGACACAGAAAGCATGCCAGGTTGATATCCGATGTAGATGTATAGGTATCCGGCGCAGATAGCTTGGTGCAAAAGTCAGACCAGCGTGTATTGTTTGGCGATTCGTCACCGCTATCGCTTCCCTCACCATGGCCATTCACGCCACACGTTCCGTTCCGTTCCGTTCCATCTCACGAGGTCTGGAGGGGCATCCTGGAGAGGATTGATGGCTGTCCAGCTGGCACAGCGCCCGCACCGACAGGCCTTGGGGCGTCCCAGTGACCCAGTCCACGTCAGCACGCATGCGCACAAGGCGATGGCCCGGCACTGCCGTTACCCCCGTATGGATCAATGATGAGTGACCACTTGGAGTGGCGAAGGTTCCGACTCGGAACGAACGTGCATGCAGTGATAGAGGTACTCGTCATCGCGGCAGTGAAGCCCCAGAGATCTGGCATGACCACACCAGGGTGTCAAAAGTGCAAACACTCCAATGACCAGTGGTAAAATTGCCCATATGTCTAAATACTTACTTTGAATTGAATTTGGCTTTTATGTTTCATTTCCAACAGTCTACCCGAATGATTCGCAAGCTGTTATAAGTGTACGGCGTGTCGATTTTTTTAGAATCGCGACAACTTGCCCGTCACACGGAAGAGGAATATACATGCTATGCATCCGGGGTGGCAATAAATACTCGAATTATGCTTTTCGCCTTGATCATCACGGCATCAATGAATTACATAATCATCGAGCAGTCCATAACCGTTTAAGTACTGTTGTACTGTATTATTGCTTGATTGACTGGTGATAACGAAGGTTTGGATTTTGCAACGATGCTGTCGATGGCAAATGAAACCGAGTGGCTTCCACATTTCGGATTCCTCTATTGTGTACACAAAGTTAAGGGGATTTCCAGAAATTTGGGGCCCTCAAGAACATGTTGAAACATATTATTTCGTCCACCGTGCCAGCAAGTCGTGCGACGTTTTCAGTCAGGAGGCTCGATGCCAGGGGCGCCATGTGCGGGTGCATTTTACGTTCTTTTTCACCATAGAGGATCTTATCTATCGACAAGTCTGGTTCGGCATTAAAACCTGGAAAGAGGCTGCAAGACCTTTAAAATAGTTTTGCCTTACATTTTATCCCATTAACACTGTAGGTGATAGATCAAAATAAGCTCCAGTGGCAATTCAACGGCATCTGAGTTACACCCCTTCGGCGTGGTTGTCTGGCTGCTATAACTCGCCTAGTCGCCCAACCAAACAATCGCGATCAAAGGAACGCTGGCCTCGTGCACCCTTATTTAAAATTGAAAAGATCTGAGTGCATATCTTGGAAGTGCTGACCCGCGGGCTCGTTGAACAGAAGCGCATTTTTCACCGGAAGAGTGAAATGCGATGTTGGTGAGATGTTTTTGCATAGGATGACGTAACGTTAGCATGCAGTTTTAAAGTGATTCTGGATATCACGGGCACCGATTTGTATTCTTTATGAGCGCCCTGCCCTTCTCCCAACGTTAGGCTGCCCCCCCCCCCCCCCCCCTCCAATATGGCTGAAGTATTACGAAAGCGCAGGAAAGTGTTAACTATCACACAACGACGATCTTTTTTGATATTTGTTCATAGTGTCCTCGGGGAGGGTGCAGAGGGGTAACTTCAACTCGCAACCTTAATATAGTGTCCTCAAATGAGGGGTAACTTTAGACGTTGGTGTAAGCACAGGAAAATATTTTATATTGATATTGGTGCCACTGATTCTTCCGTCTCTTGGAGACTCTTTTATTACCAAACGCTATTTGGTTTTCTACCGATGATGGGCTTCAAACCCAGCAATGCTTCAAATGAAGCTGAGACCCGAGCTGCTTTTCTGCAAGGTGTCATGAGAAAACAAAATCGGGTAACAGAATCTGTTCCTTTTGGGAGGGGGTATTGTAAGCCCAGAGTATTGGTCCACTTCAGCTACAAAATAAGAAACAAAACAGAAAACGAAAGGTTGGCCGGGACGCACTTTTTACCTGATTCGATGCTGAACATATATGACGCCAAATGCGGACCGAAATTTTCTCGGGCCGCTAACGATTCAAGAGCAAATCGTAACCCATATAGAGAAACACTGTTTTACACGGGAGGAGTTGCGACCTAAATCCAAGTATAGACAATAAGATTGGAGAAGATTATGTAATCTGGCCAAATGGTTTGGCCCAAACCTCATAACTGGGTCCGTTAGTACAGCCTGATATGCACCGCCCACGGAAACGACATATATATGCTTGCCTTATAGAGCAGTACACATGCCAGCACTAGACCACCCCCTACCTTTGCAACACAAAGTCGTGTTTACTATCACCGCCAGATAACAAGCACAAGTTGAGTGGATAAGCGATGCAATAAACTTTACACGGCTAGGGCCATGAGGCACGCAAAGGTCTGAGAGGTAAACCAAAAAGCTCTGGAGCGTGGGAGCGGCCGAAGTTCTTCATGAATTCGGTTTACACGGGAGGTTTTGCGATCACCCCGTCCCCGTCCGCCGCAGCCGGAAATACATACCCACCGCCCATGGCCGCCACAAAAGTAGGCCTTCGGCGCCCTAAGGCAGCCTTTAGAGAGGCGCCTCTACTTTCCGGTCAGAAGAGGTACGTCCCCCCCCCCGTCCTCAGGATCCGTCCCCGCAGGACATGCTGCTGATATTAAGGACTATTTTTTAAATAATAAAAACATTTGCGATCTAACATGCCTATCGCCAAGCCAGGTGGGCTAATTCGTCGATAAAAACGGGGGCGGGTCTAGTACGTTAGGCCCTCGACTCAATCCCCCAAATCGTTCGCAAAAATTTACACCCCTGCTGGGTATAATACAGGTGCGGATCCCGAGGGAGGGGGACGAAGGCATGCACCTTGGGTCCGTAAGTAGTCCAGAACCGGCCGAAGGGACGCAGGATTTTGACAACAAACAAAAAAAAAAACGCAAAAATGACGTCTTTGAGCCTCCAAACAAACCTAAATATCCGCAGTCGGAAGTAAAGGGCCCAGGAGCAAGCAAGAATAGTTCTTCCATGCTTAAGAGGCCGGAGGTGAGAGAGGGTTTAAGGATCTTTATACTGCCCAGAAGCCCTATGCTGTTGCTGGGGCCCTATATGTCCGCTTGCCGGGTCGATCCGCTCTTAAGCAGCTTTCGACGTGGTCCTTGATTCCGCTGCATTTTCTCGGGGGTTCTGCGCTGTTGCCTGGAAGTCCTATAAGTTGACGTGCCGAGACGCTCGTGCTTAGGGGCCCTCCACAATGGTCCAAGCTATTTCCATCGATCTCATCTGCAGAGGACCCCACCCTCTTGTCGCGACCCCTTCTGTTGACTTGCGCGGGCACTCTTGATCGCACAGGATCCGCCATATTGATCTAGGGCACTTTATATGTGTCCGAACTCGGAGGACGCTACGCTCATTCATCCGTGAATGCGTAGGGTCCTTTCTGTCGTAGGTACTTTTGATCGCTTAGGGACATTTATTCACGTGTATTAGTCTTGAGCTTTTCAGAAGTCAGAAGACCCGCTCGTGATGTGCAAACGTCCGCACTTGCTTGCGGGCGCCAGCGCCTCCGCCATTCATGGTGTTCCACCTGCTCTTGTGCACCGGCCTGGCTACATTAATTTAAACGCCCGAGTCCGAGGTCTTTACGATGGCGGTTTTCCCTCGCATTTAAGCCGCAAAAAGCAGCAGCTGGATATATTCCGACGATTCTTACCTGCAGTTGCCTGAGCTGATTTCACGTGCCGCCGACGTCACAAGCATATGTCATTTCCGTTGGATAGTAAATTTGTTCCAACTCCTCCATTACGGCAAAACCAAAACTTTGCAGTAGTCATTAGCCATCAGCTAAACGCAGCGTCGACTAGACGGCTGGCCACCGGCTAGCCTCAATCGTAGGAATACATTTTCCAACGTTTCATCTCCCACATCACTCGTCCGGAATCGTCTGAGCTTCCCCGCGGAGCGTGGGACGGCGAGCAAGCCGGCCATGGTGTGGAACTCCTCCGCCAAGCCCAACAACCATTAGGCCGAGATAGGAACGTGGATTGATCCGACGCCCGGCCAGGTAGGGGAAGTCGGCGTCCCCCCCGCCCCCACCGATCGGCCATGGCGGAAGTCTTTTCTTTCGAAACGGATTATCGCGACAAGACCAATGGATCGAAATCCAGACCATCTAGAAGGCCAGATCTGGCCCCACAGGCAGCGGGACACCGGCGACAACATGCACGTTTGAGTCCGCAGGCTGCTGTCTCCCATCCTTACCGGGCTATGGACGGCTGGCGCTCCACACGCGGCCTTTGGCCCCTGCTCAACCGGCGGGCGCGAACCAT